AGCAAGCTCCTAGAGTCTAGTACAATAAGGTTTATTCATTTTTTGCAGAAACTAGGTTTAAAAGAAGAATAGTGAGCCTACACTCTACATAAAGAACGAAAATAGAGGTGATATCCTTATTGTGTGTTTATATGTAGATGATATGATTTACATGGGTTATGGTGCTTTTCACTTGTTGCTAATTTATTGTTCTTGAGGTCAAGCAAGTTGAGGATGGTATTTCCGTTTCTCAGCATAGGTATACATCAGATTTGTTGAAAAGGTTCAACATGACATATTGCAATATGGTAGAGACTCCTACGAATGTGAATGAGAGGTTACAGATGGACGATGGACCAGAAAAATTGTACGTACGAAGTTTCATAAGTTTAGTTAGAGGTCTTATCTATCTAACTCATATAAGACAAGATATTTATATTTTTATACGTGAAATTTACAAAGTTTATATACAGTCCTACAAAACAGCATTTTGGAACAACAGAAGTTTCTCTATGGTACAACACAGGTTCAGATTTAAAATTGGTTCGAGAAGTTTCTCTATGGTACAACACAGGTTCAGATTTAAAATTGGTTCGATTCACAGATAGTGATTGGGCAGGATGTATTCAAGACAGAAAGAGCACTTCAGGACATGTTTTTAATCTGGGTTGTGGAGCAGTTTGTTAGAGTTTAAAGAAGTAGAATGTGACAGCTCTATCATCATCAGAAGCTGAGTATACAGCAGCTACTTCAGCAGCATGTCAAGCAGTTTGGTTGAGAAGAATTTTAACAGACATCAAGCAGGACCAATGAAGGCAACAAAAATTTTTTGCAACAACAAGTCAACCATACATTGACCAAGAATTCAGCATTTCATGGAAGAACAAAGCATATATCAATCAAGGTACACTTCATCAGAGACTTGGTTAGTGAAGGTTCAGTTGCTTTGGAGCATTGTAGCATAAATGAGCAGAGTGCAAATATGTTAACAAAAGCATTGTCCAAGAACAAGTTTGACTATTTCAGAAGCAAGTTTGGAGTGTGCAAGTTTAGATCAAGCGAGAGTGTTATAGAGTGTTGGAGAGTGATTCAACTCTAAGTTAATGAGATTAATTGGAATAAGGTATAAATAGTTTCACTTTCTATTTGTTGGGGTTATTTGTCAATTCTGGAGTTTTATTTTTCTTAATTATAGAACTTAATAAGTTCATAGAGTAATGGGAGGAGTTACATTTTTTCTCTTTATAAATTACTAGGTGATCGGTTTGCACTGTGTGCAGACTGTAAAATATTTTATATGTTTAATATATGATTAATATTATATATTGATTTATTACTAATTGTACATGATTAATTATGTTTTAAGTGATAATATTATATGAATATTTAATAATAAAAATAACTGTAAATTAAATGAAAAATATTATAGAATTCAATATAAAGTGTAAATATGATAACTAAATAAATAAAAAAATTATTAAAACATATAAAAAGTAGAGTTAAAATATATCAAAAGCATAAATTAAGCAAAATTTTGAACACTTTTTTATAGACGGTGTTCATGGTTTTCTTTTGTACATTTCTTTCTTTGTCTGTTATGTAAACCTTAAGTCCGGATCTAAACTTAACTCTAGATAACACAACATATAGCTGTCCATAAGAGAAAACTGATCTAGATAGAAACAAATCGATATTTTCAAGTGATTGTTTTTGGCTTTTGTTGATAGTCATTGCAAAATCTAAAGCCAAAAAGAATTGTCTACGATGCATTCTGAAAGGAAACCATGTCTGGTGTTGTCACATACATCCCAAAGATTAAAACTATTTGACCAATCAATTTTTCATTTTCCGTATTATTTACCTTCAACCACATATCAAACCACTTAAGTAATAATAAATCTAGTTCCAATGCATATTCCACATATAAGATCATATTATGAAGACACATAACTAACCTTTAATTTCAAGCAATGTTTCGGTAATCCAGAAAATTTGATGTTTTTAAAACTTATTTATTTTTCTAATATTTATAATGACATATAATTTTAAATATAAAAGTTATATTAAATCATAATTAAATTTTTACAATATTTTATGGAATATTATATATACTATGTTTTATTTCTCCTTATCTAATGTAATCTTGCTAATATATAAATATTTTAAGTATATATTTCTTTCTTGATTTATTAGAAATTAAACAACGATAGATTTTACCATCTTTACTTATCCTAAAAGTGAGTAGATGGTTGACCCGCACATAGAGATTTCAACAAATAAAGTTGTCTAGTAATAAAAATAAAAATTGAACTGTAATAAAAGTTAACAAAATGCATGCATGACAAGTTCGCATGCGACTTCGACTTTTATGCAATTAATATTCATATTAGCATGCATATTTTTGGAAAATCGTATATGCGTTAAAAGAAACTAACAAAATATATGTTTTGTAATATATATTTTAATAAATATATGTTTGAATTTTAAAAATAAATAAATATGTATATTTATGCATGCATATACATGTTATAAATAAAATTATAATATTTATGTGTTGATTAGATTTTTGATATTTTTCACAAACGTTATGTTTTTACACGGTACAGTTTTTGGCGTTTAACAATAATCATGGAAACTGTTTCTATTGTTTTGACTTAATCAAGATTTCTTATTTTTTTATTGTTTTTTATGCGGTTTCAAATTAAAAATTATATTAAATAGTAACAAAAAGGAGAAAAAAAACTAAAAAAAAATCAAAAATATAATATTTTACTTTATGCCATGAAAATATATAGTACATTGGATAATCTAGTATTAATTTTTCCTATTTCAATAGAAAAACAATTTCTATAATGTATGTTTGTATAATCTAAGTATATAATTATTTCTCTATCTATTACAAATTACAGAAAAATAGGTTTTATCCATCTTTACTAATCCTAAAAACTGGTAGATGGTTGGTCCACACATGGAGATTTCAAATAATAAATATAAATTATTTAGTAGTTAAAATAATAATTGAACTATAATAGAAGTTAACAAAATGCGACTTCGTCTTTTATGCCATTTATATTCATATACACGCATATTTTTGGAAAAGTCAAAGTATGACTTTTATGCATTAAAAAAAAAACTGATAAAGTATATGTCTTGTAATATATATTTTTATAATGTGTTTGAATTTTAAAAATAAATAAATATGTATGTTTATGCATGCATATACGGGTTAGAAATAAAATTATAATATTAAAGTATTGGTTAGTTTTTCAGATATTTTTTCACAAATGTTATATTTTTACACGATTTTCTGAAATAAAATAATAAACAATTTTTGGCGTTTAACAACAATCATAAAAACTGTTTATATTATTAGTATTAATTTAAGATTTCTTTGTTTTTAGCATTTTTGATGCGGATTCAAATTAAAAATTATATTAATAGTAACAAAAGTATAAAGAACTTTTTAAAAAATCAAAAATATAATATTTTATTCTACGCCATGAAAATACGTATAGTATATTAGATAATCTAGTATTAATTTTCCTATTTCAATAAAAAAAAATTGTGAAATCATATTTTTAAAAACTCTTGGCACCTCTCCACTTATTTTTTCGTTCATTATTAAAGAAAATGGGATTGATGAAGAAAACAATTATTTTTATGGTTGGCATACACACATGTGTTCTTAATAAATTTTGACCGCACATGAGTTCATTATATAATTTGCTTCTTATAATTTTTAAATGCTTCCATAAAACAAAGCACGGATGCTTTACAGAAAACCAAAAACGTAGAGAAATATTTTTGTTTTAACTTTTGCTTCGTAATCAAATTTTATGCAATCTATTGTGAATATATGTTAAAAAATTGAAATCATAATAATTATTATTTTTGCTAATTTAAATTTATTAATTTCAGTGTTACAGTAAAATCTCTATTTATTAATATTTAATAAATTAATAATTATTATAAATTAATAAATTTTGATGGTACCAAGTTAGGCAATATAAAAATTAGCAAATTTTAATAATATAATAGTTTTTTGGAACTTCTATGGAAAAATATGGTCACAATAATTATGTAGATTAGTAATTATATATTTAGACATATATAAATAATAAAATATGGTAGAATATGATTATATTGTTGTTTAAAGTTTATAATTTTGTTTGATTTATCTTTTAAATTCATTATTATGATATTTTTTAATGAATTTTACATTGTTGAAAATATTGAGTTTTGTCTTTTGATGAATATTAATAATTTCAACTGAAACATGTCTTTATAAGTTAATAAATTAATAAAATTTAGGAGTTCCAACATTATTAATTCATAAATATTTTACTGTATAATCTAATGTATTTATGTTTTTATATTATAATTTATTAAATTATAATTCAGCCAATCAAAAGATTTGTTTATTTTAGAAAATTTGTCATGTCATATTTACATGTCACCATTAAAATACACTTTTCATATACTGTTTACAAATAAGCTTTTTTCAATAATTATACTTCTCAAATAATATATAGGGGATAAATATGTCATAACTAATTAAATATTTTGGTCAAAAAGAACTACCTGTCATAACCTTAACCGTGATATGTTTGAAAAATAAGATATTGACCCAGGGAATGTTGAAATCGGTTATTTAAATTTATCAGACATTTCACATAGGTGATAAGAATGATGACTATTTTAAATTAATATGGTATGATACTATCATATCTACTTTTTTCAACAAATTGTATTTCCAGTGTTAGATTTATTAAACATACCTAAAAATTGGAAGATATCTATCTATTAGATTATACAGCCATAATAATATAAACACATTAGTAACAAAATATCAATTATGCATATAATATGGAAATTTGCTCCTCAAAAGATCTAGAAGAAGTAACGCAAACTATAACACCAACCCCAGAGTCAGCATGCAAATGCTACAAAAAAAACAACTCTCATTCGTCATTCTATAAATACACGTTCTCCCCATTCTCACTTCTTCACCACACGGTCCACACCACAGCAAATCCTTAATCTACACTACTGTCAAAAACGTGAATTTTTTCATATACTTTTACTTAACGTACCGTCAATAACCAAAATGGTTTTGATAGTGTCGTATGTGTTCGTGGTTCTAACTATTTTTGGCATGGACCTAACTACCTCTCAAGCCACATCCCGTATCACTTTTCACGAGTCATCCATTCTTGATTACCACCAACAATGGATGAACCAGTTTTCTCGAGTTTATACCGATGAATCCGAGAAACAGATGAGACTTAAAGTATTCAAGAAAAACTTGAAATTCATTGAGAACTTCAATAACAATGGGAATCAAAGCTACAAGCTTGGTGTTAATGAATTCACAGATTTGACCAAAGAGGAGTTCCTTGCCACCCACACCGGTCTCAGAGGCATTGACGTAACTTCACCATCTGAAGTGGTTGATGAAACGATGCCATCTTGGAATTGGAACGTTACTAATGTTGTCGGTGAGAGCAAAGACTGGACAAAGGAGGGAGCTGTAACACCTATCAAAACGCAAGGACAATGTGGTAAGCTTACCTGAAACATATATTATAAATAGTCTCTACAAAACTGAGAAGTTAAACGGTAGGATCAGTAATTTAATGTAATAATCAATCGTTAGGGGTATCATTCTAGGTTTAGCGTTACCAATACAAGATTCGTTTAGTAACAATGATAATCAATATATTGGCAGGTAGTTGTTGGGCATTTTCAGCGATTGCAGCAGTGGAAGGTCTGGCAAAGATTACTCGAGGAAACCTCGTATCACTGTCCGAACAGCAGCTTATTGATTGTGATAGAGCGCGTAACAAAGGTTGCAAGGGGGGAACAATGGCAGAAGCTTTCAACTACATAGCAAAAAGCGGAGGCATATCTTCAGCAGACGCATACCCTTATCAAGTGAAAGAAGGGAGTTGCCAGTCCAACATCAAACCCACCATGCAGATAAGAGGGCTCAAAAGGGTTCAACAAAACAACGAGGTTCAGTTGCTCAGCGCTGTCTCGAGACAGCCTGTATCGGTGGGCATTAAAGCGACCGCGGCCAGTTTCATCCATTACTCAAGCGGAGTGTACAATGCGCCTGACTGTGGGACGGCCAACTTGGATCATGCAGTGACGTTGGTTGGGTACGGGACGAGCCCTGAAGGGATCAAGTATTGGCTAGCAAAAAACTCTTGGGGTGAGACTTGGGGAGAGAGTGGTTATATTAGACTCCGTAGAGATGTGGAGTGGCCTGAAGGCATGTGTGGTATAGCTACATTTGCTTGTTATCCGGTTGTGTAATAAATTATGTTTGATGATTTTTATTCAAGTACTGTGAATGTTTCCGCGCTAAGGATTGTTTTTAAAGTATTTGATATTTAAAATAAATTATTTTAATATTAAATAAATATTTTAAATATAATATATTTTTGATGTGGTTATACATTGAAATATTTTTAACTTATTTAAAAAATGTATTGTGATTTAATTGAAAATTTTACTAACTTGATATGTGTGAAAAATAATTGTTAATCTAAAATTTAATATTTATATATAAACATGTACAACAACTTTCAAAATATTATTAAAATTAATTTTGTTTTAACTAAATTTGATATATAGTTGAATTAAACAACTATAAGTTTTTCTTTATTAAATTTAAAACATGTTTTCATTTTTTCATTAAAAAAAAATAATAACTTATCTTTTCATTTCAGTTATGTACGTGTATTTTTTTTTTCATTGGCAGTCTCAAATACAAAACAACAGTCAATATTTAAAACTTTTACAAATCTTTAAAAGAACTATTGTTCATATAAATAGAAAAAATATTTACATAGCATACAAAATCACAATTATATTGATAAACTGCAAATTTGATTTGATCCCTGAAATATCTGTAAACTATAAAATTTTCAGATGAATAAAACAAAGAATATGTTGGATCCATTTTACCGGGTCGAAGGAAAACTTGCCACGTGGGCCTAGGCTGCATTGAATGCTGACACACGCCACGCTAGCTTGGCCGACCCACTCACGGGTATTGTACCAGGACAGTTGGCGGGTTTTCCCTAACACGCCAGAATCATTACTCCCACCTGCTCCACGGGCGTACCGCTTGGAAGGAACAGGACAAGAGGACGATGAGTATAAATAGGAGGCAAACCCTTCGAAAAGGATGGAGGAGGAAGGCACCAAAAACGACCGGAAAGGGCTTCATTCCGATATCCGAGGCAATGGCCCCAGCCATGCAGCAGGATCACGGGCGAACTCCATGTTCTTCTCGGATGAATGCCGATCAGGTTAAGTTATCTCCAACTCGTAACCTCGCATTTATATCCGCTTCGTTCTTCCTTCGACGAGTTGAAACCCCTTTTAAAACAACTTAAACCAGATAGGAGTCTTGATCCCCGGACGAGACTCCTCACGACTAGCCCCTAGAAAACTCTCCTCCCGAGCACTTGTTTCCGGTAGGATGTCCACTGACTTGGGCGTCGGAGAACCTTCCAGAGGGAAACCCCATTTCGGTCCTCCTGAGGGCTCGCCTGACATTTGCTTAAGTGTTTATAGGATCGAACACGGCGTTCGTCCCGTCACCTCGAGACAGGAAGCTTCCATCCCGAAACGACTATTTGCCGCCTTTCCCCCTAGAGGACGGAACTCGGAGGCTCAGCTCCAACCCCGATGAATCACAACCCCCACGTGACATCCCGAAATTTGTTCCCGAACAGAATACATAAAACAACTTTATACTAACTCATTATATTAAACAAAGTATGTAGAGTTTCTCAAAACTCAAAAGGTGTAAAAGATTCATTTACATTTGGCTTGTAATTTAACTTATATATTTTTCTTACACCACACATATATTTTGATGAGTCTTTATAACTAAATGAATAATGTATATCATATTATTTTCAAAAGAGTTTTTTAAACCCAAAAAAAAAAATATTAGTTTTTCTTATATGCTTAGTTTGTAATTTCTTTTTTGTTGATGTGGATGGTTAAGGATGTTTTTATAATATTTTCTTTTACATAAAATTGTATATACTATTTTTAAATATAGAAATATGATATATTAATGTTTAAAATAGAATTATGGTAGTATACTTTTTTGTAAATGTATTGCGTATATTTTTTTGTAATAAGTAATATATTAATAAAATCTTATAAATTTATCTTTGTATAGACAACAGAAAATTTTGTGTCCACATATATAAAATACAGTTGTTTTATTTTCAAAAAAAAATTATTTATTTGTTATGTATACACTATGTATGTTTGTAAAAGACGATTTTTTTAGATTTTTCTGAATTGTGAATGTTTTCAGATTTTTTAGAAATTACTATTTTGTAACTTTGTTTCTGTTAATTATTATTTAAGTTTTTTTGGAGCAATTGTTTTTCTAAAATATTTTACGTGTATTTAAAAAAAATTAAAATAAGAGTTTTTATTATTGTGTGGACGAACTTCATATCTCATAATATTATATTTATCGATTTTTAGTTTAAACGTGTGATTATTATCAATTTGGACTGAAAGAATTTAAAATATGAAACATATAACTAATTTTTATTTTTGTTAAAATCAGGTTATATGTCAAATATTTTTTATTACTATAGTATATATAGTTTAATCAATATTCAAGTTTTACTATTCTTATTGAATAAACACTATTTAATTATAAGTATGTTAGAAATATATTAAAGAATTGTTTTTATTAGAAATATGCTGATGTGGCATGATTATAGAGAGTTTTTTTATGCTGATGTGAATGGTTTGAGGAGCCTCAAACTCTTCCTTTCATTTAGTATAAATATTTTCACTATTATTTTTCTTCACACGGAATAAAATATTATTCAGCAAAGTAATTTTTTTTTTATTCTTTGCTTTGTCTATTTTCTATATTGTTTTTCTTATTGCAACAAAGATATGAGAGAGAGAATCATCTATCATGTAACTTATAGCCTTTGTCTACATAGACGAAGTTCGTATACAAGAGAAATCCTTGAGAAATTGTGCATCTTCTTCTTTTCAATAGCTTAAGTAGCCATCCATCACTAGGGTAAACCATAACTCAGTATCGATCAGATTCTGCCTTGGACTTAATTTTCACTGTGACACCCGATTCCGATAATATAAACCGAACCGGCAATGTCAAGATAACCGTATGTTCTAGAAGCCAAACGTATTATCCTTTTTACAAGTCCCAGAATCCAAAGGCGCCTTGCTTAACAAACAACTCCACACCACATGCGATACTGAAGCATCTTGACTCACCTAACCTGCTAGAGTGGATCGAGAGAGAGAAGATAGGGGAATGGAGGGGTGAGTAATTTAGATTACCTAGGAGAATGAACTTACACTATCCTATCGATGCACCACAATTTAACAAACGCTAAGTTCAAGCCTAAAACAGCACCATAGAAAGTCCTAAAGACTTCACAAAATAACCTAGTGTCCGCAGGTAATGCCACCACATAATGATGACTTACACCGTGGCACTTGGGATGCATCCTCCGTAAATTTATAGTCGCAACACGACTAGCCCATCAGCCATGCCTTGAGAGTGCTACGTAAAGCCATTCCTCCTATACCACATGAGTATACGCTGAACCCTTTTGAACAGCCTCATGTGATGTCAGGTCCCTCAATACCCCCTCGCATATTGCCCACATGGCTCAGCGACTATCCTCAACTTCAGTGTATCGATCGCAGCCCCATGCATTGCAAATCTCAACCATCCATCTCGGACCCCAAACAATAGTCCTCCACTCAAGTATATCGACCACGGCTCCCTTGCCTTATGGTCTCAACTCCCATCTCAGACATTTCACAATACATAGTCTCAATAATGATTTCACACAATACCGTATTAAGTTCTTATCCTCTTTACAAGTTCTAGGCGATCACACAATCACAGAAGAGATTCAAACAACAATCAAACAAGCAAGGCATTTCAAACACAAGTAAAGATTCGTTTTAAGTCTCCTGCAACTTCAGTTTCAAAACCTTAAACACATCTAGGCGATCACATATCAAACAGCAACCTAATAAGACTTAACTGAGACTCAGTCCTAAAGCAGAAAGTAGGTTATACGTGGTTTAACCCCAAACTAGGCATTCAGAAAAGCAGGACACATAATATCCTAGCACAGATTCATCCTCACATTGGCCTAGGTGGCGAAGGAGGTGGCGAGGGAAGGCATGGAGAAGAGAAGGAGGCGAGATGCTCCACGGCGGCTAACCACGCCGGGTTGATCGATCTCCGGGGATGATGCTGCGGCAGTGCGTGGCTCCAGGAAGACTTTGGCTCGTCGTCGATGTGAAACACCAGGATGGGGCGGCTGGTTGGAGCGGCAACGGTTCATCCCGAAGGTGGTGGACTCGTGGCTCTTCCACAGCGGTGGCGGAAGACGTCGACTGCTCCGGGAAGCGGCTGGAGCAGCCATCAAAGGGCAGCGAAGATGAACGACGAGACATGGTGAGGAGAGAGAAAGGAGCAGCGAAAAGAGAGAAAGAAAGAGGAGAGGGAAACGGTGGAGAGAGAGTACTCGGTGCCGGAAAGAGAGAGAGTTCTAGGGTTTCTCAGTTCTCTGGAAAGTTTAGAATGAAGAAAAATAATGGGGAAGGCTCTCTATTTATACCCATTGGAAAGCTTGGGTAAAAAATAAAGATAACCACGAAAAATGAAAAGATGATTATGAATAAGAATATTCATATTTCTTTTAGGAAAAAGTTAATTAATATCACATTAAAAATATAATATTTATCTAAAACAGAAATTAATTATCTCTCGAAAGAAAAAGAAAATATCGAAAAATGGAAATTGGGCTTAAACCATCTTAGTTCGGGATTGAATTTTTCAAACGGGTCTGGTTTGAAAAACCGGGTCGTTACACTCAACGTAAACAAAATCAATCCAACATCAGTGTAAGCCAGGATTCGAACCTTCGTCTTGTGGGTCTTGAGTTTGTCAGCAATGAAAGAGGAGACGTATGAACCCAGAGATTGTGTAAAACCCATGTCTCGCATCCATAGAGAGCCACCACTTCTTTCCGAGAGACCGTGGAGAAGTACGACTACGAAAAATGCGAGTTTTGGTGATGAGACAGGAAAAACTCACGGAAAAACGGAGATGCGACTATTGTTTTCCATCGCTTGCAAACCAGTTTGTAAGTGGTGATGCTCTTAAGAGATAATCTCGCAAGTATCATCTTCCACATATCCTCCATAAAAGAACTTGTTGAACCAGAAAATCACCACTAGGGTTTGATTAACAGTTGTGGATTTCAGAGAATAAGATATTTTTATTAATAGTAAGAAAGCGTAGCGATTACAAAGAAAGATATAACTGAGAGGTTATGCCGAAGTAAAAAGAAAGTTTGCGAAGTAAACTAGAAAGCGTTGGAGTCTCTGGTTTTAGCTCTGTTGCTCTCTAGATTGTATGAGTTGTTCT